TTCTTCTCATATCTGTTTCTCTGTCTGAATCTGCCTCTTATGAGGATTCCAGTCATGGAATTAGCATCCCCCCAATCCAAATGATGTCATTTTAAACTGATTACCTCTGCAAAGTACCTAATTCCAAATGTGGACTCATTCACAGGTTTGGGACTTAAATATATCTTTTGGGGAGACACAAATCGATTTACAGTAGTTTATATCTATTCTTTGGTCACTGTTATATGCTTGCCTTTAATTAAGTTTGTGAATTATTGATATATTATGTGTTAATACTTGATAAAGTGTAATAGATTTTAACAAATTTTAATTATTTTTAAATATTTCTATTATCTCATAAAAATTAACAAAGTGGAAAATAAAGTGTAATACATATTGAGATCCTGATTTATATACTTTCTCAAACTATGTTTATAGCAGACCTTCTAATTATGTCAAGAAGTCAAAGAGTCACATAATCAAAGGACCATGTTTTATGATTTAAAATATTACTAAAAATTTGATTTAAAGGAGATCAGGAGGTCACACAAGAATATGAATTTATTATATATATTTCTTATACTCTAATTTTCTATAGAAAAAATGTTCAAAGTATGTATTAATCATCACAAATTATCAGAAGCTCTGTATAACAAAATGTATCATTACATGTCCCTCTGTCAAGTATAGTTACTATTAAAGTGAACAAAGTATTAACTAGTGGATATGCAGGTTAGAACGATTAAAGAAAGCTCACAATAGCTACTAGAACACTAAATTAAGCTACTGTGAAATTCCAGTAATAACTCAACACAGACTGTTGGACTACCATACCTGGAAGTGGTGCAGCCATTTAATTTTGGAGGAGACACAGCTAAAAGTGAGGGTAATTAAATGACAGATTTCAAATCACGCAGATGGCAGGCAGGCCAGTGAGCAGCTTTGTGCTTTTTTCACTATAAAATGCTCAATGAAATTTTTTCTGTCCAACCTGTTGTTTGTGGTTTATCTTCCACTATGGTGCACTTCTGACTTACACGGAGCCCGGCCCGCTGGGCTCTCATTTTGAAACTTCAACAGTGACTTTACAAAACTTTACAAGTATTTCTTTGGATATCTATTTATGCAAAAACCATTAAAACTAAAGGAATGAATTGGAATAAAATACGTAGTATAACTGTAGTAATGTGTCTGTAGCTTTAAAATATCTTCTTCCTGATAGTACATGATGAATTATTCAATTTTCCAAAATTGCATTAATACTATTCTTAATGTATAGGAGTGGTTGGGCTAAGCATTATTATTTTGAAAAATTCATCTCTTATGATCTCTTATGAGAAATTATTTTCTAGTAGAAGAAGATTGGTAACCAGATAATAATAAAACAGACTAGTGCCTTATAACGCAGTCAAACTAGTAGGGTTGATGGAGTCATTACATTTTTCCTTAAGGTGGACAGGAAGCAGACAGTGATGCACCCAGATGCCCTGAAAACTTATACTCGATTTTTCTTTATTATTTAAACAAGTTACCTAAGACAAAGCCATAAAAAATCCTTGACCTAATTTTCTAAAATTGGCATGTTTTGGTTCTTCCACTGTACTGATATATTTAAAACACAAACACACAGCTTTGAAATATCTTGTAAAAAACAGTGAGTTGCTTTGGGTTTTAATTAATTAATTTTGGTTTCAGTTGATTCAGACTGTCAGTGTCATGGACAAGGATGATCCTCCCCGAGGTCACAAATTCTTCTTTGAACAAGTGCCAGAATTTCCTCTCAATCCCAACTTTACGATTATAGACAATAAAGGTATAGAACATTTCTAAAACTAAAAATTATGAGAACTTATGATGCAAAATTAAAAACAAATATGATGTTTTTGTTGTTGTTGTTGTTGTTTTAACTTTGTTTTTCCCCCCAGATAATACAGCAGGAATCATGACTCGAAAGGATGGGTACAGTCGCAACAAAATGAGCACCTATCTACTGCCAATTTTAATCTTTGACAACGATTATCCAATTCAAAGCAGCACTGGCACGCTCACTATCCGGGTGTGTGCCTGTGATAATCGAGGAAACATGCAGTCCTGCACGGCAGAGGCCTTGATCCTCTCGGCTGGCCTGAGCACGGGAGCTCTCATCGCCATCCTGCTCTGTGTCCTCATACTACTTAGTAAGCGCTGCCCCCTGAATGCTCTTGTGACTATCAGAATTCTCCCTCTCCTCGCCCAGGGATCATGCACTGAATAGCACTCCTCTCCATAGCTAAAGATTGAAAATTATTACTTTTTCAATACGGTTGTTCTTTACATTAGGAAAAAATTTCAAATTTTTGCCATGTGGGGATGGGCTTAGCTTTCTAGAGATAAAGAGGTAAAGATATAAAAGTGCAGTATGCATAATTTTTTTTCTTATTTCAGAACATTAGGGGTACACGTTTTGCTTACGTACCATGTTTTTTGCACAAATTAGGCCAATGTTCTAAGTGTGCACTGGACCCAATATGTGTAAATGCTATATACATATTATACATATTTTCTACACCATTAGTGTTATATCTTGGACCAATTATGGTCATTGTTCTGAGTATATTTGCTTTAATAACTGATTTAATCTTTCTATTAACTTTATAAGTAAATACTTCTACTGAAAGGCTAAATAAGTTGCCCAAAGTCATTGATTTAGGAAGTGTTTTAGTTAGCATTTAAATGCAGATTATTCTATTTTAGAATCCTCCTTTTCAAGATGAAAAAGTATTTTACAAATAACATTACCAATATATATACTACATTAGGTGTATACACATATGTATGTATATAATACATATCTCAAATATGACAGTAAATGAAACATTTTTTACTCATGAAACTTCTTAAACTTATCATCTATAGGTGTAATAAACCAAATTATAATGTAAAAATTAACTTTTTAAAATGTCACGTATGGCACTCTGGTCATATCATATGTAGCTTTCCAATATTTTTTGACTAAAGTTATGCTTCCAATAGCAAATGTATCATTTGAGCATGCTCTAACAGGACAACAATTTAATTCAATTAAACAGTTGTTCCACTGTGAAACATTCCAAAAAAAATGGTTCCATCAAATATTCATCCAAAATGCTATGCTTGGGGCAGGAGAGCTAGCCAAATTTATGTTCTAATGCTCATATGTGCTGGCTTCTATTCATTGCAAATCCTTTCAGCTATCTGGATGAAATCCCTTTGGCCCGATATCCTTACAGGACTTCAGTGGGGGATTGATGAAAGTGAGGGAAAAACATTTGTCTCGGTTAAG